AGACACTGAGTGGACTGGTTATATTTTACAGTGAGGGAGACACTGAGTGGACTGGTTATGTTTTACAGTGAGACAGAGACACTGAGTGGACTATATTTGAAAGTGAGACAGAGACACTGAGGGGACTGGTTATGTTTTACAGTGACAAACCTTTGTGTTCAACAGTTTGTTCATGATGATCACTTCATGTTTTGGTTTGAATGCATGTTCACATGTGTCTAATAAATGTGCACTGTGTGTCTGTATATGTGTGTGTGTGTGTGTGTGAGTGTGTGTGTGTTTTGGTTCTCTGCAGTGGCTGCATGATGATGTTGGTGGATGAGTCATCCAGTCTTCACCACGTGACATCATGAATCACTGCACCTCTCCGTGGGCAGAGCTGCAACCATCAACCACTCCACTCCTCCCCTCCCACAGTCTCTCCCCTCTCCCTCCTCCCTGCCTCTGCCCAGCCCTGTGTTACTTTTTCCTCACCCTTTCATCTGCTGTGCTTTCTCTTCTCTCTTCTTTCACATTCTCTTTTCGTTTATTTTTACCTGCAGCCTTTCACTTGATTCTATTTCAGTTCAGCTTTATACTTATTTTAATCCTGTGTCTCATCCTCACCTCCAGTTCTGCTTTGAAAGTCTCATTAACTAATGCATGTCCCATTTATCATATCCATCTCGTATCTTTGTGCATCTGTGACACACACACACACACACACACACACAGCAAGAGAGGGAGTTTACACGTCTGTTCTCAGATTGAAATGGCCAACTTTATTCGACAGTCCTTGAATCAGCCGGCTCATTCTAAAACACCTCAGTGTTTCTCAAACCTTTACAGAGACATACATTTATGGTTACTGGTCTGTGTGGGTGGTGGCACATCCCCACAGCACTCAGTCTAACCTCTAATCACCCTGCTGAACACCCCACCTCTGAGCAGCATGACATTTCAAAGCCAGAAAAATCCTGTTCTCTGTTCCACCTTTAGTTACCATCTAATCAGCTCTCAGCCTACACAGGGATCACAGAGGACATTCTTACCATTAGATTCCATTATTTATCATGATCTGTTCACCAGTAAGGGACTTATAGTGAGAATGTACCAAGGCCATCATTGAGGAATCTAATGAAAATCACTAAACAAAAACTGGTCAAATATGATCACAAACAGTAATTTGTGGGTTCACCTAAATTTAAAGCCATGAGCAGCAACTAGCAGTCATGAACTACGCTCCCTGCAACTCTCTGCACTCTGTATTCATTCCTTTTTTATTTTGAAACCTTTTTCCATTGATGTCTGTTGATTTTACATCCTGCCCCACAGTGTTTCCCATCTCTGTGAACTGCATCAGTTCACCCTACTCATCCTGTTTGAAGCCTCTGAGTCTTACGCTGCCTTGCTGGATTTCCAGAGTTTGAATTTCCTGCCTGAGTTTAAAGGGATAGTTCACTGAAAAATGAAAATCCACTCATTATCAACTCACCTCTATGCCAATGTAGGGGTGGGTGAAGTGTTTGGGTCCACAAAACACTTATGGAGTTTCAGGGGTAAGCAGTGTTGCAACCAAATCAAGTGAAGTAACTAGAGGACCACGTCTTCAAATGTAAAAAAAAGACCACAGAAAAAACCCCACAACATGCCTCCATACTGCTCCTGTGGTATCATCCAAGGGTCTGAAAGCCTCAACATTCATGTATTTAACCTAAATGTCCACTGTGACTTTGATCCTAGAATGAATGAATGAAGTTGCCCCTGACTGTACTGTACAGTCCCCCTGACGGTTGTACTGGCAGTGTGTGGGTAATGTGAGATAGAGAAATTAATGGACATAGACTCATACATGAATGTGTGAAACTGTGAAGTATTTTGAGTTGTCATCAAGAATAGATATATATAAATACAGACCATCTACTTTTTACCTATACATCAGTTTCTGAAAACTTTTAACTAAGGTGAGTTTTCAAAATGTTCCTTTAACACATTCACAAGCCCCTGAAATAACTGAAATATCTAGATTCAGTATGATGGACCAGGACCTTTGCTATCATATCTCAGACTCACATACAATCAACTGTATCCACAATTAAGAGTCTTTGTAATAAAAATAGTTGACTTTATTTCTTTCTTTATGTGTAGCCAAAGTAGTCATTGATATGCGCGTCTTTACATCCAGCAAACGCATGTTTATTACGATGGTTACAACAAGGTACATCTAGAAAGACCATGGACAATACTCGCCGCATACATGACTCAAACATTGATCATACGGTACACCAATGTCATTGTTTCTGTTAGCTTTAAATTTTTTTAATGCTTTTTTAAAATTGATGCTTGTACAAAAAAAAATTTAAATGCAAGTATAGAGAAACGTGCAGACACTTTACCCTTATCTCAGCCACTTTTATCTTCCCTTCTCTTTGTTAATCTGTAAATTCCTCATCAATCATATCTAAAACAAGAAGTAAATAAAACCAATAATATACAAAAAAAACTTGATTGTTAATGCCATGATCCTGTCCAGGCTTGTTAGCACAGATGCCGAGGTTTGCTCATCACTTAGCAACAGGTGGCCACAAAGGTCAAACAACACCTACAGTCCAAAGAGTAACATTTGCTCCAGTTCCCAGTGACATATTTGAAAAACAGGGAAGAAGGAGAAAAAGAAGAGTTTATTGATAACTGATTATCAGTAGCCATTTAAGAAGAGAAAGAAAATCTCAGTAGTACAGTCCTTTTTTGCACATTTTATAATTGTTATAACACTGTCATCCGATCCGAGCAGTGAAATGTATGATTAATGAGAATTAACAAACTGCGGCTTGAACAGATTCACGCCTTTCTTCTATGGACGATATCAAGTGGTACAGAAGAAAAAAAAAGAGCACCATGGGCGGAATGTCACAGTGACATGTAAGGCAGCAGATTTCTGCTCAATTTGGAAACATCTCTCCAACATACAAATGTATAAAATATATCACTGATGATTGTGCGACATTTAGAAAATGATTAAAAATAAGATTTAAAAATAGATTTTGTGGTAATGATGATGATGAATGAAAAACAAATGATGGATAATTAAGATCACATTAACTGGTCTTCATTGCGCTGAAAGGAGCTTTGGGCTTAAGGGACACTTGGGGCAGGTATCTTTCAACCATGGAGGGCAGGTAAACTATAGTGGGGAGTTGTTTAAAAAACGATGTCTCAGGCTTGGGACTGAGAGCAACAGTCAGGGTTGGAAAGCCACAATTGCTGTTTTTTTCATGGGATTTAGTGACAATAAAAACTATAGCAACTGTCTCATCATTTAAAATGCATTTGTTTAGTAAAAGAACGGTGTGCCTCCACCTCCGCATTCTCCTCTGTAGGTGTCAACTGTATGGAGTTTGGCCAGGGTTTGGTGCCATGGCAACAAGGTAATTGAAGTTATGCAAAAGGATGAGTCATCCATGCCATTATTGTGGTGTTAGTGTGGCTTCCACTGCCCTTGTATGAAATATGCTTTTTGGTACATTATATTTCATGATAAAGAGCTTTGGTGGGTATGCGTGACCATACATAATGAAAAGGTGCTCCTCTAATGAGGTTTTTTTGCTGCATTTTTATACAAATAATACAAAATGAAATATTTGCATAAAATATATTCATTTTAAAAACAAGAACAGGGAATGACTTTGACATGAGGCCAGTCCCAGTTAATGCATGATCTTGATTTTATTTATATAAGGTGAATTGGCCCAGGGCTGATATATAATATGGTAAAAGTATATGGGCACCAACTCTAGCATACAATGATATTTTAGTTACCATAAAGATTCCAATGTTGTGACGAAAATGTGTCTTCATCCCAGTTGTGTTTCAACTCAGCAATACTCCCACTCATAAAATGTCCATAAAGAAATGAGGTCCCAGTTTGGTGAGAAGAACCCCATCCAACACCTTTGGGATAAGCCAGACCTCATGACCCAACATTAGTGTTCTCTTCAGCTTTTGTGTCTGAATAGTGGGTCTGGTTTGGGTGGAGGCTGTAAGTGTAGCTGATGAATGACCACTGTGTCAAAATCCACTACCTTTTGTTGTGTTCATATATTATAAATAATATTTGGTGTCCACATACTTTTGGCCCAGTTGTGCATATTTTTTTCTGATGAATTATGGTTATGAAATCTCTTTAGAATGTTTCCCTGCCTGAGATAATCCCACAAATGTTATTTTTGTGTGTGTTTACAGTGAAATTCCACCAGCCGTCATCACAACCTACGATTCAACTGACTCTGAAATTGATATTTTTTGAAGGTACAGATAACAAGATATTTAAGCATCCTCCTTTGTTGGCATAGTAAAATGTCCAAATGGAGAAAGTTGTCATGCTGGGAATTTAGATGAGAAGTTCTTGCATGATACAATTCTTTGCCATGTCGTGCTTTCAACCAGACTATGTTCATCCTGGTTCCTCCTCCTTCACACAGGAGGAGAGTAGATGTGTATCTTTCCTTTCATTTCCCTCCAAAGTTTCACTTTATCCAGATAACTTCTGGAAAAAAAGTCCTGTGTCTTTTCCTTGTCCAAATAACAACCAACCCAAATATTAGAAAGAAAGTTGTTACGTGTGAAAAACAAAACCAGACATCAGCAAAATAAAGAAATACATTCTTTTCTGGTACTCTTTCCTCCTTTCCATTTTCCCTATTCCCACTCTCATCCGTGCTTCAGTCCAACATCTGTGGTCTATTCAGGAGTATGTGCTGTATGTACTTCTCCAGATCGTCACGGCTGCTGCTGTCTGACTGCTTTCCAGACTCATAGTAATCTTCTTTTCTCATCACTGCAGGTGCCAGGGCTGAGTAATATGTCTGCTTTTGTTGAGGAGAGATTACAGGCGTTCGAGGAGGGAACCGTGGTTTGGGAATTGGCTGAAATGTACGTGGGTATAATGGGAGGGGGTAGCTGGTGTAGTAAGGTTTCTGTTGATTACCTGCGGGTGGGGTTTTCAGCCGAGGTTGGATCCAGCTGTAATAACGACGTTTGGGAGGGTACATGCTAGCGTCATCCACAGAATTTCCAAGGTAGCTGTTGAGGGTGAGAGCAGGTTTGGGGAAGTAGTAACGGGGTTTGGGTCTGGGGGGAGGTGGAAAATAGAAGGGGTAGTAGTCAGGGTAGGGCTTCCTCTGGTAGTAGAATGGGTAAATGAAGGGGTAAGAGGGGTAGCCACTCCAAACAGACTTGGGGGGTTTGCGCCAGAGGTCCTGTTTTAATGACAAAGTCTTCTGAGGTTTAGGCCATGGATTTTGATTGGGTAGCAGAGGGTTTACAGGTTTGCTCCAGCGATCCTGGGATTTTGTTGCTGTTTTCTCCTGGAACCAGGTTTTGAGGAGATTAGCAGCTGGAGAGGATAGCTTTGACACAGGTAGGTTATTTTGCTTGGTGGAAATCTGTGATGTTGAGAAGCCATTGTCTGATGAGAATGAAGAAGACAGGGGAGTTAGAGGTTGTTGCCAATGTGACGTTAGCTCAGGTGGCACGTCTTTCTTTTTCTTCTTCTCCACATCACTGATGATGTCCACCACATCATCGGCTGGAAGGTGTAGCTTGCTGGATATTTCGATCAGCTTGTCAATAGTCTGAGGATCGATATCGTCCTCCTCAATCACTTCCTGTTCTTCATCAGACCTCTTGTCCTCTGCAGCGTTGGATAGAGATGAACTGTACTTCTTGTTTCCATTATTCTGTTTGACCATGTAGCGCAGCAGCATGTCTGAAGCGATGTCCGCTAACTTCTCTTCCTCCATCTTGGCTCTCTGTGCCTCTGCGGCCTGCCTCCTCATTTCCTCCTGCTCTGCTTTGGCCCGAGCTTCCTCCTCCTCTGGACTCAACACCTCCTCATCTTCCTTTTCTTCCTCGTCCTCTGGCTCATCTTCTTCCATCACCTCCTGCTCTGCTGGAGGCTGAGACTGCGCAGCATTATTGCCATAATTACTATCCTCAAAGTCATCCATAAAGTTGCCTCCCTTGAATGTTGGTAGATGTAGAGCTTTCTGCGTCTCCTCTTGCCATTTCAGTTTCTTCTTCGACATGGCAAGGTTGCTACCTTTATTTAATGGTATGATGGAATTGTGGTTACTGTAACCTCGGCTCTCTCTCTGGTTTTGCTCTGAATCCCCATTCCTCTTAGTAGCTGTGTCCAAACTAGGAAACTCCTTCATCATGGTCTCAAGGCTCCTCAGCTCCTCTGGACTGAGCTGCTCCTCCTCCTCATTGTTGCCTTGTTCAGAGCTGTTTGGTCCCTGCTGGGGAGCAGCACCCTTCTCATTCTCCACTTGTCTATCTGGACTTGTGGGCTGCTGTTCTGTTTGGACCTGGACTGTCTGACTTGTGGTACGACTTGTTACCTTTTCAGTCATCTTTTCCTCTTCTTCCTGAGCTTTCTTCCTCTCCTCTTCCTCCACTCTTTCTTGCTCCCTCCCCTGCGTGGCCATCAGCAGCTCTAACTCCTGTCGTCCATCTCTGTCTCGGTCGGCTCCTTCCATCGTTCTCACTTGTCTGTATTCCTCCTCTTTTTCAACCTCCCCTCTCTCAGCTTTCATCTCTCCTTCTATCCCTTCAGGCTCCTCTCCCTCCATCCTTCTCTCTACTTGTGAGTGATTTAGTGCCTCCAGTAAAACCGCTGCAAGTGTTTTGGGATCCACGTCTTTAAAGAGGTCCTCTTCTGCTTCTGCCTCTTCTTTCTTAAATGATCGTCTCTCCTCATCCCTTCTTTCCCTGTCTCCTGACACCATCAGCCCAGGAGGAGTATTTCTATGTGGGCTATGAATATCTCCAGGGGTTTTGATAGGATTGGGGCTGGACAGGTGGAAGAAGGAAGCCCCTGTCAGAAGGACCAGGAGGGTAAGGACACTTGAGGCATTACGGAACCCAGTCATGACCACTCAGAACAGGACCTGCTGTGAGTAGCAAGGACGATCCGAAATGCCTGGAGGAGAGAGAAGACAGAAACAGATCAGTTTCTCAAAAAAGAAATTCCACTCTTCATTAATTAAACAACACAGGAAGTAGTGTGTTTATGTGGCGTGGCAGAAAGTAAGGGTGTGGCTAAAGCCCAATGAATCATGGGATATGTTGAGCCAGGAAGGATCCACCTTCCACCCTTGGTGGAGCCTACTTTGCCTTTCCTGGAAGGACACATGGAGACAGTCTAGTCGCGCCACTGTGATGCATCGGTCTACAATGAACTGGACAAAGGATTTAGCCCCTAAATTGAGACACAGCTCCAGAGTTGACGAGAAACAGACTCAGGAGCATTTGTCTATATGGGTTAGCCTTTAGTCTAGTCTTTGGCCTTGTGCGTCGCACGACTCGCTTCCCCTGCTTCTGTTTCCTCTCCCTCTGCCTAAACATTATCTTTTCCAGACAGATTTTTTCATAAATAATTGCTCTGACTTTTATTAATTAATATTAAAATAAGACCAGTTTCATAACCAGTTGAAAACTCCTTGTATGTGCATGCATGCCCCCTCTGTTCCTTCCTTTTTGGATCATAAAAATATTTTAAAGAATAAACACTACAAAAAACATCATGAATAACACAAAAAAGGTAAATTTAGCATTTTGTCAGGTTATTGAGAACGTATTCTGTGCTGCTGATAATGGATCACATGGAAGCCCAGGTCACTGATTATGAACTGCAACAACATTGCATATAGTAATACAGAAATGTCTTGTTCCGCTTGTCGAATGTGATATTACACATGTGAAACCATGAATTCCAAATGCTCTATTTGCAATTCTCATGCCTGGTTGTTGAGGGTTCAGTCAATGAAGCTCAAGAAGGCACTAGCCCTTGATTGACTGAAAAGCCCTGATGCATCTTATCAGGTGTGGGCAGAGCAGGGACAGATGGAAATATGCAGTGATGTGGCGGCAGCACTGCTGCGACATTGGAATGCCATTTTGCTGATGGAGCTCAGCACCGAGGACAGCTCCTGATGCTGCTGCTTGAATATTCAATTCATGACTGCAACAAGTGCAGTGACGCTGGGTTCATTCATATTTTTTTGAAAATATTAGTTTTCGGATGAAATGTGTTAAAATTTCCCAGCAGATTTTTTTTTTCAATGATAAAAAGAAGGAGTAGCCAATGTTAGGCCAACTGACCGGTTGAGTAAGGCATATTCTGCAGTCGAGGCAACAGAGGTGGCTGGAATGCAGGGGATGTGTGAAGTGCGATGTGCAATATAATGAATTATTAACATACACAGCATCTAATATGACTGCTCTATATACAAACTGAATTGAGTGGTTGCATCTGTCTCATTTTGCTGTGCATGTGGGCTATCAGCCTAAACAGATCACCTACACTTTAAACCGGCAAGGCAGATGAATAATCTGCTCCTGAGGGGCAGGAATCAGCATAAAGCAGGGGGAGTCCCCTCCCCCTCCTACGCAGACAGTGTAATATCCCCGACAAACACGGGCGTCAGTATTATGAAGACATTTGGACATGTCTGTGATCATCTCTGTGGTATCCTAACCCTTTTACTGTCAGCATTACCGCACCTAATGCACTCAAAGGCAACAGAGCAGTGTCATTTCATTCAGGTTATTTTAAGCAAAGTGAGTCAACGTAATGAGGGCAGGAAGCAGCGGTAATTGCGATGATGATGATGATGATGATGAAGATGATGATGATGATGATGAAGATCAAAATGATGATGAAGATGATGATGATGATGATGAGAATTTTGAGGTCTATGTAGCCACCTCTGTGTTGACCATAAACAAAGGAATATGACAGGTCGATGAAACAATAGAATCACCCTCCACGTGAGACGCAAATCACGCAACCAAAAAATTGCGTGTCCATAAACAATCGACTGTAAAAGCTGTTGAATTGAATTAATGTGATAAATAAATAGTGTCACGAGTCATATCTCAAACATCTAAAAAGTAATTTGAATCTTCTGCAACCCAACAATCAAAGTAAATGTCCCCCTTCTCTGCACTTTGTTTTTCATGTGAGCTGAACTCTGCACGTAGAAAAAAAAAGAGAGCATCGGATTGACCACAACACTCGAGATGTTTTGAATGTTTCCACAATGTTCAGTATTAATAATCACATTTGTTCTCAAGAAAAGAAGTCATTTGAAGTTGACACTTACTTGCAGTTGAGTGGGAGGATTCCAGCTTCCCCTCCTCGTCACGTCAGCCTCAGATCTCACGCTCACAGCTGTTGTTGTTGTCTAATGTTACGTGTCGTCACTGTTGTTGTTGTTGTTTGTTGCGGTCTCTCCTTACGCGTCTCTCCCGGGATCCCGCGTGTGGCTCGTCTGTTTTCAGGACCACGGGGAGCGGCTGCAGCGCTTTTATACCGCCACCCTCGTGGCTCACGTGACTCATGCGTCAAACGGTCCCAATTGACGTCACCAGGCTGGGTTTCATTCATAAGATTTTTCAGCACCCTCACCCACCCACTCGTCTTACCCCCCTCCCCTCTTTGGTGGAGCCAATTAGCTGCAGTGCTGGGGCTGCTGAATGAACACAAGCAGCTGAATGAATGTGCATTTCATCTGTTGTTCCATCAGGGCTCAGATCTGACAGACCAGTTGTTATTATGAAAACAATAAGAGTGGTAATCATGGATGTGAATATGTTATTAATGATAGCAGCAACAATTTATATAAAGATAATAATGCTATTTGTTGTTGTCTTAATCCTGAAGCTCTGGAGAAAGAGAGAGAGAGAGAGAGA